TTTCTATCTTTGTCAGCCCCTCGTAATTGTCATATCGCCTAGCTTGGCAAATGACACTCCCTTTCACAATACTCCCTATATTTTATGTCTGGTGTATGGATAATAGGCATGGTGTCTTTCTGGTCATTTCTATAGATGCCTCTTGCGACACCCACAGGATGGTATGGATTGATGGACTCTTAAGTCATCACCACATTTTAAACTTGGCGTGAGATGGTCTATCTATCACTAAGGTTTTAAGACTTTATACCCTCTTATATTAATGAAAATTTGGTTGCTAATAATAATCACTGAGAATGAGGTGACCGCTATACCAAACTGCTTTTAAAACTATTTGCGATTTTAAAAATTCAAAATTATTTTAGGTTGATTTAAAACATAACAGCTCTCAGAATAAAGGTACAAAAACATTTATAACCTCTAATTACTGATTTTTGAACTTATGTCTAAACGAATTGCTGTGATGTTCTCTACAAAAAAAACTGTATAAGGGCCACATGTACAAAGTAAAAGTTTGTGGCATATCTATTATATTTATCTGTTTAAAACACACACACACACACATACACACATTAAATACGAATATACATCATAAACTGGGTTTTTTTAAACTAAAAAAAGTTAAACAGATATGTTTTTAATAGAGGAGTTTAACTCGTTTTCAGTTGAAATTATAAAACCTTAAGTGAAACTAACAGTCAGTTGTTCTATACTAAAACTTATTGAATTAGTTACTGTATTAAATCACTCCAAATAATTTGTTATCACTCCCGTTACTGACCTTATATTGGCAGAATTGTTAAAAGAGTAACCAAAAAAAAATTATAATTCCGTTTTAATTATTGCGTCACTTCTTACAATTCAGTTTTAAAACATTTTCGCATCAGTTTGCATTTAATACTGGATTTACCGACATAGTTAAGTTTACAGCCCTCAAGTCAGCAGGTGATCTTCTAGGCTATACGGTTTTATGGTGATGAGAAAGACAACTGATAATACATATTATTAACTTATAATATTACGTTCTATTGACATAACCTCAAATTATTTCAACACTAGCCAATTAAAACATCCAACGAATTAATATGAAAATACTGTAAGAATAGACTTTATAAATCATATTATCAAGAATATGACACAAATAGGCACTAAAATGGCAAATCGCATACCGAAGTAAACACTCAATGCAGTTTGTCTCACAACCACAATATACATACAAATAATCATTTGGGTCTATAAATTCAATATACATATAATATATTTTTATAATAACTAAACAAATTTTTACTTAATATTATAATCTATCAATATCTTACACGGTTTTTATTTGGCGTGGAATAATTTTATTATATTTTGACTTATGTCTAAAATACGTAAGAAGTAGTACATTATTTAATCGGATCAAACAAGCAACTGGAAATTGTATTCTATAATTTATCTCTAATTAATTCGTCACTATACCATAGTTTACATTCCGTTTAATAGGGCAATTTTCCTCAAATATTTTTCAAAGATGTGAAAACTGTTTCAAATTAGTATAATATTATTAGGGGGTATCTATAAAGCTTTCTCATCCGGTTGGACAATAGAAATATATAATTGTAAATAAATATGGTAAAAATACATAAATATCAATAAAATAAATACATAAAAATACAAAAATATATAAAAACCCAACCAGATGGAAGCCCTCGGCAGGGGAGACCAAACGGCCGAGGGTTAGGGGGAAAGGGAAAGAAACCGGCGGACGATGCGGGCGGTATCGAGGAGCACCGCCTTCTGCATTTGAGCTTGGAGTGGTCCGTCACGGAGTCCCAGTCGCCTCAGATGACCCGAGAGGCTGACTGGGATTAACCCGTTCGCAGAGACGACTACAGGTATAATTTCGGTCGGCAGTCCACCCCACATGTCGGTAATATTATTATTATTATTAAGATTGGTACACATAAACACTGTTGGTAAGGCAATATTATGATGTTTTGAAGTCGGATGATCGAATGCAGGTTATCGTTGGTGTATGTATTATTGTGCTAAAACTATTTTTAATTTTTAGCTTAAACTTTTCATCTAGAGTTAGTTTAATTTTGACATGTTCTGAATAAACCCTAGAAAATTAATCATTTTATGTGCTGTTATCCTATCCGATTTTAATTCGATTTACCGAAATATTTGCTTAGATATTGTTGGTTGGCAAGTTGCCTTTTGACATTAGCATATTGGCTTCTTGATCTTTACCTAGGGTTTATTTTTTATTTCCTGTGACGTAAGTGCTGTTGGCAGTTCGCTTTTACAGGTTCATCGGACTCAGGGCTCGCGACCTGAACTTATAAGTGGGGTTCACACTAAATTATATGAAAAAAGTAATTGACTGTTTTTTTTAATTTTATTTGTGCCTTTGCCTAGCAGTGGGAAACTACAGTAGCTTTTGTAAGTGGCCCAACCGGTGTAGCTTCAAATTCTATATAAACCACTTACAAAATCTTTCAAGCCGTCTGACAGATTCTCACCTCGATGACGTATTAAGAATAGCGTGCGTACGAGCCAAATTTAGTCGAAATAGTTAAAAATTGGTTTCGATACATCTTTCTCATTAAAATTAAATAACAAAACTGGTATCGGTTTTTTAAATTAACATTCAATTATCAGACGTTGTGATTGGTGTTGCAGTCCGCGCACATAGTTATTAATGTGTATTAATAGGTGACCAAAAAAAAAAAAAGAAAAAATGAATGTAAGGAGATATTTCACCCGCACCAACCCGCGAACCCCGCGAGCACTCGCGTCGCGACTTGTGATATTACGCACCGCGAGAACTGAGCTTATGGTTAAGAACACCATCGTGACAAGCTAACATTAAGAGCAGTGCAAAATATTATTAAGGCAAGAAGAGATTTTTTCTTGAGGATTAAAAAAAATACTTTAAAATCTTTGAAAATATGATCAAAGACGTACTGTCAACTCATTTCGTAAATTATGATAAGACCGTTTATAGTGGCTACGCAGGCCTGGTAAATTTTGTGTCGGGGAATTATATATCCACGAGAGTCACGAACAGCCATAGGCTGCCAAATCAAATCAACCCTCAAAAAGTTTTTTTAAAATGTGACGAAATATATTTCCGATGAACCAGAATACTCAGTAGACAAAGAGTTACTCGCAATGTCACGAGTGTAGAAAACCCCACAATAAAAAAGAAAAAGAATTAAAAAATAAAATGTTAAGGCAAGAAAGTTTGTTACGAAATCGGCCCTCACCAAAGCAGAAGTAATTGAAAAACAGGTCAAGAAAAGAAATTACCATTCTGTTGCTTATAAGTGCTGATTTACCACGTGTTCGGCGGTGAAGGAAAACATCGCGAGGAAACCGGCATGTCTGAGAAATATGAAAAAAATATTTCGAAGACATGTGAAGTTCGCCAACACGCATTGTGGCAGCGCGGCGGTTTCCTTACCCCAAAATCCTTTCAGAAATGAGAGGAGGGCTCTGTCCAGCATTACTGTAACTTTATTTTACTTTAGATATATGTTACATTTGGAAGAGGAAGAAGATGACTTTATACATTTATAAATTTAGATGATAGATGTAAGAAAAGTAGATACTGTTGAACAAGAAATATTTCAAAAGATTTCAGAGAGATATTGAATCGAAATACTGCGCGACGTGGTTAAATTTGAAATATTATTAGGTGAAAATCCCATTAATGGTAAAGTGTACATAATTAAAGAAAACACACACACACACACACACACACACACACACACACACACACACACACACACACACACGCACACACACACACACACACACACACATATATATATATATAGATATATATATATGTGTGTGTGTGTGCGTGTATGCGTGCGTGCGTGTGTGTGTGTGTATGTACATAACAATAAAAACAACTAAATAAAAATAACAGTAGATGAGGTGTTTGTCATTACTCCTCTCATTATTGAGAATTTCAACAACTCCTTCATTCGTACCATTTCAACTATACCATTTATGATACTTTTAAGTAAAATATTTAGATAAGTTTTTTAACTGAATAAACACTTGCTTTCTTATTGAATTAAGTATTTATTCTTCATTTTGAAATTTTAATCGTGGCGCGCTTTCGGCGTTATATAAAAATATTTTGTAAGTTTTTAATTAAGCAGTTTTAATGGTTTAAACTAATTTACCAATATATATATTTAATGGGGTAATTTAAAAATGTAAATGTGTTGTGGCATGTAAAATGTATAGATCTCAGGGGCCAATTAGTCGATATATGTAACCACGTGAACGCATATTGCCATGAAATTCCAGTTGCTTGATTTAAAATACTCATAAAGTTGCAGAAAATAAGCAATAGAATATAATAGTTTATTTGAAAACTTAAAAGTAAAAAAAAAACAACATATCATTTCTGCGAGATGTAAATTTTGTCACTATCGAGTTTCTCTGCCGCCGCTGAGCACGTGGCAAAATAACATTAAATATTACAATTGATAATATTATGATTGAGGACGGTGTTTAAGCCCAGATTGACTCACGTACTGTAAAATATAAGAAGCCAGCTTATCCGCTACGCTACCAATGCTCAGTGGGTAAAACGGTGACAGAGATATCTGATTATTTGTTATGTTTAAAGGCCATAAGTTCCAGTAAAGAAAAAAATGTGGAAAAACACATCATAATATTACAAAGAAAAAATTATGTTACTAATATAAAACTTCTAATAATCTTATATAAAATACTTTATCTACTTATATACATGGTGTGTTGTATTGGATATATCAAAGACAATCACAAAAGGGCGAAACATATATTTGATTAAATATGATACGTCCTTTATTCCATTGCCTCTCACTCATTTTAGATATAGTTTAACAGTTTTTTTTTAAATATATTCGAGATAATGTGACAATTTTCTTTTCAGATCATCTTTTATAAAGTATTTGTCACAAGCCTTATGATTAACTAAATAAAGGCAACTTACAATTAATTCCGCAAGCTCAAGGCGTATATGGTGGAGGCGGAGGAAGTATGGAAAGGTCATCAAAGGGAAAATATTGTTGTGAACCTAAAACAGGCGGAGCAAAACCAGGGGCCAACGTGGGGACAAAATCAGCACTAGGGGTATATGGTGGTAGAGTGGGTACTGCAGGAGTTGGTCCAACGCTATGAGCCTCATACCCATCCCAATCTTCCATCAAGTTTCGCCTTTGCAAATCTTCATCATTAGATAAAGGAGCTCCCCATAAATTCGCTGCAGATGCTAATAAGGCGAGAGCACCTGAAATTTTATTATATGACATTAACAACATTTATTAGGAATAATTCAAGCAATTTTAATAACACCATAGCTTTTATATTATTATAAGTTCTGAATGGGATAATTCCAATAATTACAATAAGTTGCTTAAGTTCCATAATAGAAGTAATAAAAGCAAAATAATTGTTTTTAAATAACTTTAGTATAGTGCAATAAGTGTTTGACAGAGGCACAGACAATTGTGGCTTAGACTTAAACAACTGTGTGTAGCACAGAATAACTACTACTTGCCTTGGCTACAAACAGTCTAAGTCTGGATGTTGGTTCATGAGCACTTTTGGTATACAAAGTAAATTCTGTACAGCCACCTTCATGAAAAAATTGAAAAGCGATGTCTCCTCTGAGGACTTGATGAAATTTCATATTACCAGTGAAAAGGCTATCTGGTTTTCGTCATTCACCACACAACACGCAGCAGTATTTTTCAGCAATTTACGCTGGTATTCTGTGATAGCGTGTGTCCCCGATCGAACCGACCCATTCCTGCTACAGCCATAATACTACCCGATGCAACTGCACCGTAGGTCTACCATGTAAATGTAATATGATATTCATCACAGTTAATAACTTTTAATAGTAATTGCAAGCTGTAGTTCTATATAGTGGTAACTTTAGGTTATTTTAATTAAATCATCATTAGAGTGAACGAGAGTACAGATTCTTCATCAACAGGCGAACCCCACGCTTATGTACGTGCGATCATGTCACATTATTTTCTCCGTCTGCTAATGTATGTGAACCCGGGGCTTGTCTACGTGCGTTGCGAGGCGCTTGTATGAATTCGAATTATCGATCACTCTTGTCTCCGTCTTAATATTAGTATGGAATGTTTAGGCTCCCATCCCAGTCCCATAAATATTTTAAGATACTGATACAGAGAATGTCATTCTGAATGTCACATCTAACGGCTTTCGATTAGAACGGATTTTTCTATTTTAAAAAATACGTTCATTATTTTATCACCATTATGTTGTCACCCCTGAGGACTAACATGGAACGCCTCCCATCCAATTAAAAGTCTCCAGTTCTCTACACTCACCTTACGAAACAGCAGCATTTAGCTGCTATGCTATATGCTGTGAGAGCGTGGACCTTCCCCGGTCGAGCCGACCCATTGATGCTATAACCATAATATAGCTCAGCATGGCTCTATCACATATTACTGAAGCTATTTATGATAAATATTTTATTATTTTTTGTTTCTGAAGTCGGATTTTAGACTTTTTATTAAAAGTTTAATTTTCTGATAAATGATAGTAGAAAATCAAATTGTTTAAGTCCGCAGGAGCCTTTTTGTCAATACTGACATGCAATACACAGAATCAATTACTGTGAAACCTGGCAACTTCGCCATTTTTGGAAATAATTAAAAGTTTAACACTAACTTTCCATCAAAAAATGTAATGTGAGACTGGGTGTCAATGTTAAATGTGATATTATATGCTTCATAGATTTGGTATTTATTAACGATTTAAATAAATACTGACATTAAATAGACAAAATACTCAAAAACAGAAAATGGTAAAATTAACCTCACTTTGTGGCAACTTTGCCATCAGGGTTTATAATGAAAAAAATAGTATTTGACTTCAAGTTTGAAGGTAATTTTACTTCACAATATAATACACAACACCCAGAGTTATGATTTGCTTCTTTAATTGTGTTGCAAATAGCAAAGTTTACGCTTGTGGCAAAGTTTTTCAATTTTTCATACAAACTTGAAAATATGTGTCAGGGTTGTCAAAATCCTTGATAACACACTTAACTTAATTTTATTATTTAAATCTTGCCGCAATAATTTCTTAAGAAATAATCTAAAATATATCAAACAAAAATACTCTATAAAATTCAAAATTAAAATTCTCTAAAATTAAAAATAAAATAGGTGCAACAATAAGTTTATATCAATTATAGTACAGAATAAAAAAGCCTGTTACAATCATGTTTAACAAGTATTCGTTTTTTTATTAGTCATCATCACCATTTTATTACGGGTCGTAATAAAATAATGTTAGGTCATAATTATTGTAATATAAACTATAAATATTGTTTCCTCACAATAGCAAAACATTAATAATCATTAAAAATTACAATTAATGTTTTGCTCAATATCAAATACACTAAGTTGAAATTATGAAAAATACTGAGTAGTAATAATAATATTAATGCCCAACAACGCAGTAAAAATATAAGAATAATAAGAATAGAGCTATAATAGTTAAAATATTTAAATAGATAGAATAAAGCTATGTTAGCTTTCTCTATTCTTTTCCTACATTTTTAATAAAGATGAATTGATTGACGACTCATTTGGTAAAATCGGTCTAATGGGCTGCTACGATGATACATCGATACAAACATAGAATGTCAAGTGGTTGGTTGTAACAAAACATGGCAAAGTAACCGTCATATCATGGTATCACTAGTATCTTTGCCAAGTCATTTTTGTAGATAAATGTTAAGACCAACATGTTAAAAACGATATATTACATTTGATAACCATTAATATTACGTTACTACAAAGATATAGATACCTACACTCACTATTTCAAACAAAAAAAACTAGTTCTGGAGCACTTAACGAAGAGGTTATTTCACCGGCAAAATTCTGCGTTAAAATAAAATGCGAAAATTAACTCTCATGTTGCCATATCGAAAACAATGCTGTCAATTAGTTAATGTATTTTCATCCAAAACATGGCTTATCTCGAAAAACGTTACGTTTTCCGTGTTAATCATAATTTTGTACCAGTACACCCCTGATGGCAAAGTTAACATCCATTGGTCAAGTTGCCAGACTTGACTACATTTAGAAAAAGGTTGTGAAATAATAATCACGAGTAATATAAAATTACACAAACCTGCTCCAGTTATTGTGTAGAATCCATATTCATAGTCAACTTGTATTGTGTTTGGATCGCTGTTGTTGACATTCCCCAGTACAACAGTTGTGTAGTAACACACTCCAACAATGGCAATAACCCAAAACACGCACATTATGCTGGGTATAGCATTTCTTCTTAGCATTTTTATAGCCTTACTATTTAGACTTGTAAGGTTGATCAAAACTCCAATACATGAGCATAGTAACACCATGAAACATAACAATATTAGCACTCTCATTAGTGTTATTATCTCCGGTGTTGTACATGGAGGCAGACCTTGAAAAATAAGAAAAACAATGGTCATTCTCATGTCATTTTGCTTAAATAATAATCCCCAAAACTGCGCTGTATAAACACTCATAATATATCTTCTAACCACTACTCTCACAAATACTGTGTGTTGCACTTAGAAGTAAAAAGTATTCATAACTTATAGGACGACCCTCCCTAGCTTGAGTGACGACCTGCATTTCGATTGTTTCGTTTAATACTGTCTATTTTTCGCAACTCTACGATTAAACGCGTATTTTGCGTGTAGGCATGAATTAATGCTACTAAAGCCATGCTTGCTCCTCGGGAAGCATCGTGGAGCGACCCTGCCAAGCCGAGGTACGCCCGCTTTTCGCATTCCATGCAAGTTCTGTAAAGAGGACTATTAGTGATAACAATGGCAAATACATGTTCATTAAATTATTCATGTCCAGTTAGAACGCTTGTAACAGTTCGAATTTGAGATTTGTTTAAATGAAGCAGTATTTTAGATATAAACGTAGCAACTAACGATAGGCAATGCCTCTTTAGCTTGCCTGCATTCCTAAGGTTAATCAAAAACTGTGCGCGTAGGAAGGTAAGGAGTGGTTTCGGTCCATTAGACTACGTTTTTTTTATAGGATAAAGGTGACAAACGAGCACACAGTCCACCTGATGGTAAGTGGTTGCTGCGGCCCATAGACATCTACATCTAACCTCTGTTACAAATAAAAATGTAGATGCGTTGTCACCCGTGAGGACTAAGATGGAATGCCTCATTTCCAGTAAAAAGGGCCTCCGGCCACCTGCACTCACCAAGCGAAACGCAGAGGTAAAGCTCTACTTCACGCTGGTTTTCTGTGAGGTCGTGGTACTACCCCGGTTCGAGCCGGCCCATCCGTGCGACAGCAAAAGCTGCCGCGTGGCTCTACCACTGTTAGACGTGCTGAAGCGCCGCAGCCTAGTTTATCTGCAGAATCATTCCCTCTGAATCCACTATAGCCATTGAAGGGTAATGTTGTTAACTCCACCTAAGTACCTAGCATCAATAGTTTAGCCCTGAGGTTGTGACATTGCTATTCGTAGCACGAAAAACCCTGCCCTGTCAGAGTAATTGAACATGCTTGTCCTTTACTACCCTAGCCGTGATTTTTATACTGGTGTGATCGTACCCCTCCGTTTTGCTTGAAAAAGTGAATTTTGGCGATCGCGAAACTCTCATAGGCCTGTATTGGAACACACAGTGAAAATTTTTAGTTTTTTAGATCTCTCTGATATTCTGATTTTGATGGTGGGTGTAATTCGTAATTGTTTTGGGGTTATTTCGTTCTTTGCAAGGTGTTGAAGAATTGTTCCTACTCCAAAATTTCAGAAACTACTATAGCTGGAACATAATTAGGACAGATAGACAGAATGAAATAATAAGGGTTTGTTGTACTTTAGTAGATATGTATTAGTAGATACCATAGTGATCTAATATTACCTAAAAATAGAAAAATAAGTTATAGCAGTGTAGTCCTATTATATTGGGATTGTATATTAGAATATTTACATTCTTAGATGATTTATAGCTCTCAATTGTAATAGGGGAGACCGGGTACAAAAGTAACGGCGGGTCGAAAGTAACAAATGCTCTGTAGGTTTATCCAATAGCCAAACATCGCTTTGCTTCCGTAAGGTGATAGCTGGTGGTGACCCCCTCACTTACATTAAGTCGCCGCGCAAGCCACGCGCTGTTAGGTTGAGTGAGAGGACGATATGTGATTTCACAAATCAAAAGTAAGTTTTTTGACGTTTTCTTATTTAATGTTTTCATAGTCTTAAAACGATGATAACAATTTGAATATTTGCTTACTAATTCTTGATTTTATTGATTATACAGCGTTTTAATTCGTTTTTGTCTGGCACGTTCCGTTTTAAGGCTATCTTTCATGTTTTAACAAAAATGTGGTCGGGTACAAAAGTAACATAGCTCTATGGGTACATAAGTAACATGTTACTTTTGTTCTAGTATTGATTTATTTATTTAATATTGTTATGTGGGTATTTATTTGAACAGAATGCCGCGATAATGCATAATAACTACCACACGAGGTGGAAAAAAATATTATGTTTGTCATGTAACATTATATAGATACATAAAAAAATTAAAGCAGGAAATACTACTGCAGTTGTGGGCTACCGTTGCGTCTTACCGTTGCGTTACGTTGAAGAGGAATAATGTCTACTGGACTATTTGATCGAGTGCTCTGGATTTTATTTTGGGTTATCTCCATCTGAAGTACGTAAACCAACATATGAGTAGGCGATAAAAGATGGAAAAACATTTCCTAAAAAGTGGCACGATACTCAAATGGCGGGTAAGGAGTGGTTGACGGGTATTTTAAAATGACACCTGAGCCTCTCTTTGAGGTGCGTTCAAGCGACAAGCCTGTTGCGGCCCTTGTGTTTCAAAAAACATAATATGAAATCTGAAAAAAATCACAATTGAAGAAGAATACCAACAAACAAATAAATCCAAGAAACGGATTTACAATCCGATACTGGAAATGGCAAGAGGAAGTTGATATCTACGAAGAGAAGGGAAAAGGAAAAAGACAAAGAAGGCAGCTAATAGTAAGAAAAAAAATTTTACGGTGGAGATTGCTTCTATCTCGTTTGTTTAGAAACTTTTAGCAATAGTTGACCAAATGAGCAATGGATACAATTTTCCAAATGAAATATGTGGTCACATGCTGACTGTGTCAACGATGATGGAAATTATGTGTGTCATAATTGTGAGTCTGAGTAAAGGACTAATAATGAATATCTGAGTAAAGGACTAATTATCATATAATAATTGATCCTATTTTCAACCAAGACTAATTCGTTTTGTTGTCTTAAAATATATAATTTTTGAGCATTTAAAATGCAAATGTTTATCTGTCTTATTATTACAAAGTCTTCTAATAAACAATTTGCTGATTTAATATGTCACATTATATTCATTACATACACTATTGTCCTGTTACTTTCGACCCACAACGTGTTACTTTCGACCTGCCTACGTGGTCGAAAGTAACAACTGACGAATTTTTTTGACGTCTCTGTGATTCATATAAAATACACAATAATAAGGTAAATCAGGAAATTAATGTAAAGAACATAAACAGAATGTATATATGGCTATGTTAATTTCATTAAAATAATTACACCTAACCAGAAACCAAGGTAAAAGTACAAAATGTTACTTTTGTACCCGGTCTCCCCTATTTCTTTTTTTTTGTTAAAGTAGATTGCTGCATTACTTATCTTAAAACTACTTCTTATATAATAGGTCGGGGAAAAAAGTTTCATCGTATTTTGTTTGTATAAAATTGAAGAAAAATCTCTTTGGTTTGTATCTGGCTGGTTTTAAATCAATACATTTATAGGACATTAAGAAAAAGAAATATAATATAATAGCGAAATATATAGCGGAACCCAAGGGGCCAGCAGCTGGCCGACTTCATGGAGAAAGAGGGACTCTTTATGATGAACTCTTTCTTCCAGAAGCGGCCCCACAGGAAATGGACCTGGTCGAGCCCCGACGGTTCGACAAAAAATGAGATTGACTTCATTATGACGACCAGACGACAACTGTTCAGTGATGTCTCCGTGATCGCGAGGGTGAAAACTGGTAGCGATCACCGAATGGTTAGAGGCACACTGAACCTAAACGTTAAGTTGGAGAGGTCTCGTCTAATGAAGTCAACGCTCCGTCCCCCTCGTGCTCTGTTCCAAAGTCCCGAAACCTTTCAGCTCGAGTTACAAAACCGTTTTCAGTGCCTGGAAGACTGCAATGAAGTGGACGATATGAATGACAAGCTCGTGGAAACTGTCCATGCGGTCGGAGTTAAGTTCTGCAAGACCCGCCGCAGAAGAACACAAAAACTCTCCGATCACACTCTTAATCTCATGGCTGTTAGACGGGAGATGAAGCTAAATTCTTCAACACACTTGACAGCATACAGGCATCTGAACAGACAGATCTCCAAATGCATGCGGCGGGACTTACGCAACTTCAATACAGCTCGTATTGAAGAAGCGATCGAGCGGAATCAAGGCTCCAAAGTCTTTGCCAGAGATCTGTCTACCAGAAAGAGCCAACTGTCAAAGCTGAAGACAGAATGTGGCAGCATCGTTTCCGGGACACCTGAGATTTTGAGTGAGATTGAGAGGTTCTATGGGCAGCTGTACACATCATAGTTGGAGCCACACGCAAGTGTGAGTAACGATCCAAGAGCGAGTCTCATCCGACACTATTCCGAAGATATCCCGGACGTCAGTCTGAGCGAGATTAGAATGGCTCTCCAGCACCTTAAAAACGGTAAGGCCCCAGGCGAGGATGGAATTACAGCGGAGCTTCTGAAAGCGGGTGGAAGACCGGTACTTGAAGTCCTTCAGAAGCGTTCTCCATGGTGGCATTACACCGGAGGCGTGGAGCAGAAGTGCGGTGGTCTTGTTCTTCAAGAAAGGTGACAACGCTCTCTTGAAGAACTACAGACCGATTTCCCTTCTGAGCCGCGTCTACGTCTACTCTGTTTTCGAGAGTCATTACGAATCGTCTCGCGCGCAGACTTGACGACTTCCAGCCTCCCGAACAAGCCGGTTTCCGAAAGGGCTTTAGCACCATAGACCACATACATACCCTTCGGCAAATTGTACAGAAGTCCGAAGAGTACAATTTGCCACTATGTCTGGCGTATGTGGACTATGAGAAAGCCTTTGATTCCGTCGAAATTTGGGCGGTGCTGCAGTCCCTTCAGCGGTACCAAGTTGACTGTCGGTATATCGAAGTGTTGAAGTGCTTGTACAGTAGGGCTACGATGGCTATCCGAGTACAGAATCAGAGTACGAAACCTATCCAATTGCAGAGAGGTGTAAGACAGTATGACGTCATATCCCCGAAACTCTTCACCGCTGCATTGGTAGACGTTTTCAAGCTTCTGGACTGGAAAGGATACGGTATCAACATCAATGGCGAGTACATCACTCACCTTCGATTTGCCGACGATATAGTCCTTATGGCAGAATCGCTGGAGGACCTAAGCACTATGCTCAATGACCTCAATAGTGTTTCCCAACGGATAGGTCTTAAGATGAACATGGACAAAACAAAAATCATGTTTAATGTCCATGTCACACCTATGCCGGTAGTTGTTGGGAGCACTAAGCTCGAAGTTGTTGACGAGTATGTTTACCTGGGACAAATAGTCCGACTAGGTAAGTAACTTCGACCGAGAGGTCAATCGACGGATTCAACTCGGTTGGGCAGCGTTCGGGAAATTACGGCACATCTTCTCGTCAGGTATACCTCAAAACTTGAAAACGAGACTGTACACCCAGTGCGTGTTGCCAGTGATGACATACGGAACTGAGACGTGGTCCTTCACTGCTGGCCGGATGAGGAAGCTCAAGGTCGCTCAGCGAGCTATGGAGAGGGCTATGCTCGGAGTTTCTCTGCGTGATAAACTCAGAAATGAGGATATCCGCAGTAGAACCAGAGTGACCGACATAGCCCAACGGATTAGTAAGCTGAAGTGGCAATGGGCCGGCCATATAGCTCGAAGAACCGACAACCGATGGGGAAGAAAGGTACTCGAGTGGCAGCCTCGTACCGGCAGGCGAAGTGTAGGGCGTCCCCCCACGAGATGGAGTGACGACCTGGTAAGACATGCAGGAAGTCGATGGATGCAGGTGGCTCAGGACCGTGCTTTGTGGCATTCTTTGGGGGAGGCCTATGTTCAGCAGTGGACTTGTGAAGGGCTGTAATGAATGAATGAAAAAGAAAAAGTAAAAAAAAAGTCTGGGTTGTCTGGAAGAGATTGCTATGTAGCAATAAGACCGCCCTTTGTATTTCCCTCAATAGTTGTTATTTTTTATTTTTGATGTTGTTATCTTTTCTTGGTGTACAATAAAGAGTATTGTATTGTATTGTATTGTAAAAAAACACTTTTCCTCCATTTCTCAATTGTTTTTTCTGTCCGCCAAAATGAGTGAATCCAACGAAAAAATTCGATACATTCTAACGATTTATTACAAAAAAGGGAAAATGCGACTAAAGCCGCGAATAAAATTTGTGACGTTTATGGACCTAATGCAGTGTCAGTATGAGTAACACAGTTGGTTCAAGCATTTTCGGTCTGAGAATTTTGATGTCAAAGATGCATCTCGCTCTGGTCACCCTCATAGGGATTAAGTCGATGCCATTTTTGAAAAAGTGGAGCAAGATCGGCATGTTAGTAGTTATGATATAATTGTGTACTCATTTGCGATTTTCCACTGGAACATAATAAACAAGAACCATTTTTAAAAAGTACCTACCCTACGACAAGAATGTGCGAAAAAGATCATGGGTAGTCAAGCTCCACAAACTGTTGCGAAACCTGGATTAACACACAATAAGGTGATGTATGGTGGGATTGGAAGGGCGTCGTTTACTATGTGCTTTTACCGGCGGGCAAAACCATTTTATTCGTATATGGTATTCGTATCTCTACTGCCAACAACTAATGAGACTCGAGCAAGAAATTGAGGAAAAACGGCCGGAATTGATCAACAGAAAAGGAGTGGTCTTTCATCATGATAACGCCAGACCATATTCATCTTTGGTCACTCAGCAAAACTTGGGAAAGCTTGGTTGGGAAGTGTTAATGCATCCACCATATAGTTCTGATTTTGCACCCTCAGATTTTCACCTGTTTTGGTATCTTCAGAATTCTTTGTGTAGTGTTAGGTTAATATTAAGAGAGGACTGTCAAAACTAGTTGTCGCAAATTTTTGAAATACCAAGATTTCTACAGCAACAGGATTATGTCACTACCTACAAGATGGCAACAAGTTATCAAAGAAAATGGCACATATACATTGTAATTATATGTAAATAAATTTAAAAAAAAATGTCATGAATTTGTATTATAAAATATATATGAAGAAAGTTTTTACCCGACCTTTTATATACATTACTATTTATGCACAAATGTTATATTACATACCTGTTAATTATTATATAATTTTATTATGTTTTTATTTTTATGTCTTGTATTGAAATATCTAAAATTATAATTCTATTTAAGAGGAAATGCGGGTGGTTTTTATAATACAAATGCTCTCGCCTGTTTTCTTTCTAGTTTATGACCTTATGGCAATGAGTTTTTACAGTAAAATAAATATCAACTATGTCCCTATGTTTTCTTTTTTGATGATACATTATCTTCACAAACACTAGAACCCTTACAAAATGCTCAAAACTGCCTATTTAGACCGCTGTGAATAGAGGCCTAAAGTTCAAATTTGATAACTTATACCGCAAAAAGAAAAACACAGGGACTCAGTGTATATCTTTCTTATTCTGTTTATGAAATATCTTTTAAATTGGTCTAATACTGGAGGAGGAAATGGTAGAGAGCCAAACCTCGAATTATGCCTTTTTACTTAGGCTAATCAGTCGGATCTGAAGATGTCCTTATCAGACACTGAGCAGTAGCAGAACGTCAGCTATAGTTTCTTCAAAAACCTAATTTTCAAGTCTCTCGGTCCGCATTTCCTCTCAACAGTAAACCTATTTAGACAGTATTAAAATATGAAAAAGAATATATGATATTATTATTATTGTTACACTATATATTGTTTATATTAAGTAGTTTAGGAGGTATGAATTCTTTAGGGCTCCAAAATATTTATTAAAAAATAGGCAGAATATTAAAGGTTATAATTTAAAATGTGAAGCACCAGCTTTCAAATAAAAAAAAGGATCATCGAAATAAGTTCACCCAGTAAAAAGTTATGAGGTAACACACACAAAAGAACATACAGTAGCATTGAGTCTCCTTTATGAAGTCGGTAGAAAAGAAGATCTAGTTAAATCATCACTTCAAACATGTATGTAGGAGTGGACAATTCTTTATTAATCAATACTATATCACATAAACTATGTTAGTTTAAAAAAGTAATATTTAAAGTATTGTGAGGAAAATAGATTACTTGTAAGTTGCTTACTGCTTACTCTCACAAGGTTTCTCGCAGTACACTGCTGAACAGACTTCCCCCAAGGAATGCCACAAAGCATGGTCCTGAGCCACCTGCATCCATCGACTTCCTGCATGCGTTACCTGGTCGTCACTCCATCGAGTGGGGGGACGCCCAACACTTAGCACTAGCATGTAGCAAATATAATAATAATTAAATAAAAATATTTTCACTTACACTGACTTGTTTGTAGCTAAAAGAATCAGGTATAACTTAGTATTCTTTTCCTTTTTTTAGAATATGGGTGACAAACGAGCACACAGTCTACCTGAGGGTAAGTAGATTTTGTGGCCCATAGACATCTACATTTATTCTCAACTAGCTGTTCCCCGCGACTTCGTTCGCGTGTTAGGGTTTTTATGTTTTTGCGCGGAACCCTAATTCTTTTTCTAAAACAAAAGTAGCCTAAGTTACTCCTTATGAAATCAGCTATCTGCCAGTGAAAATCCCGTCAAAATCGGTCCAGCCGTTTCGGAGATTACCCGGAACAAACAGACAGACAGACAGACAGACAGACAGACAAAAATTTTAAAAATTGTATTTTAGTTATAGGTACCGTATTTACTTTCATATGCATTTAGTAAAAAACTGTAATTTTGACATTACAAACAGACACTTCAATTTTATTTATTTGTATAGATTAATAATCAAAATGCAGATGCGTTGTCCTGAGGACTAAGTTGGAATATCTTGTATGCAGTAAAAAGGGTCTTCGGTTGTCTGCACTCAACATACAAAACACAGCAACATGTAGATGCTATTTCACACTGCTATTCTGTGAGAGTGTGGCCCTACACTGGTTGAACTATCCCATTCGTGCTACCACCATAATGTAGCTGCAGTGTGGCTCTACCACATATAAAAATATGGAATTTCATTAAATGAAAGATGTGAAAATTCAAATTGTTGGTATAACATGATGTTGATATGTAAGCCAATAGCAGTAAACCACTGCAGAGACAATTTCTCTTCTCAAATCATTTTACCCTTTCACACAAATCTTAGCTAATTACATATTTAATCTTCTTTGTAGCTGATAATTATTTAGGAATTAAGACTTTATAAGTATTATATATCACAATAATTACCCATATTATATAATAGCATTTATTAATATAAATGGTGAAAAAAGGTTCTTGAGTGGCGACCTTGTACCGGCGGACGAAGTGCGTGTCCTCCCACTAGATGGAGTGACAACCTGGTAAGATATGCAGGAAGTCGATGGATGCTGGTGGCTCAGGATCGTGCTTTGTGGCATGACATTAAATAAAAAAATTACTCACTGTTATAGTCCGATCTGTTGATAGGATCATACTCCTGATTCTGATGTATTGTTATTTGATCATTATTATCCGCATCCTCATCAAAAGTAAAGAACTGTGCTAAAGATAAACTTTGTGTACAGTGTAGCCCCTTAATTCGGAACCAACTGGGTTGAACTAATGCTGCACAAGTTAACAAAAATGTAGAAACATTGAAAAATGCCGCTATCTTGTTTAACTCTTTGTCTTTAAAATGTATTGAAATCTTGAGACCTAAAAAAAATTTCCATTATTATTATTATCAATATTTTTTGTAATATTCTATATTCATGAAAACACAAAATAATTTGAAAAGTAGTCATCTATGATTTGTTGTAAATATTTAATGTGTTTTGTTTATATCCAAAACAATAATACTAAGTAGCATATTATAACAAATCATATTGCATTTTATACTATAAAATAAACAATATTTATTTTTTAAAACTTAAACCATGATAATATAAGGATACAGTCTACTGTTATTAATCTATTAATAGTCAGCTATCACAGTGGTGGTGTCTCTGAGGAGGTCAATGAGTTAAAACCTCTATAAAATATGTTAAACTGTTTAGTTTTATTAGCAGTCTGTATTACCATATTACATTCAGAAGTAAAATAAATGCTCATTACAGTATTTCTTTTTGTTATTATGATAAAATTACATTAGACCATATTATAGAAAATCTTATACTTATTAACGAGTTATTCAATAACGGGCTCTGTATCAAATTAAATACGACTAATAATATCATTGAATTTCAGAAATACTGACAAAACAGCGCAGTTTACATTACAATAAATACAATATTATTTAATCGTTCCGCAAGGTCGAACGTCATACCTCTGACCCATGCGAGGCAGCCCATGGTATTAAATATCACAATATTTGTACAAATACCACGTACAACTTATAACATGAAATACTATTTTTATTATGAAAAACAAAAGATAATTAGGGTACAATGAAACTGAAACAAATATCTCTATTTAATTCTAAAGAAGATAGATTCTCGTCATTTCGTAAAAATAAACGCGATTATTTGACTCGGTTGTTGTTTGACAATTTGACAAATTTGTCATTGTTGTTGTTGTTTTTATTATTCGCTCGAGAGAGCAGGCAAAGGAACTAAGCCATACAGCCTTTTTGACATTGACACTGTTGACAGAGGACAGTTTATTTTTTTGGTAATGGGCTTGTACGGTCGTTTTTTTGGCAGTATCAAGTATTATGAAATTATCCTTTGAAACATAGACGTAGGTACGCCAGTATATTCTAAGTCTTTGAAATGTTCTAAGGCTTTGAAATGTTTGTTTAATTATTTCTTCACAATAAGGTGATGCGTCACATTAAGAAGTTTTGGAAAATTGGCAGCTTGAGCAAGCAGGCAGTTGATGACGATAGTATATCGATTTAGCAAGGCGTCTCATGAGTCATAATAACTTGAGGAATTAAGGAGCGTTTGTTTAGTCGATTTTACTAATAGTTTACACGCATGCCGTGTAGTGGCGGTTAAGAATATCCACTACCCCATATCTTCCCGTGGGTGTCGTAAAAGGCGACAAAGGGAAACAGGCAGGAGATGGGCAGCAGCATCTTCCTGGTAACGACAAAATACAATAAAAAACTGCGGTTGCCAACCCGCTCGCCAAGCGTGGCAACTATGGCAATATACCCCCCATAATGAAAGTTACGAAGAGACGGCCCCCAGTCCCCGGCGGCCCCGCTATTCCTGGCTACGGTGGCGATCATGGTAACGGCGGGGCAGGGGGTGCTAAGAATCTCCGGTGGAGGTTCGGTTGCCACCTACAACGACTCGACCTGGCAACATACAACGCACGCACCCTGAGGACTGACGAGAAGATTATGGAGCTGGAAGAAGAGATAGACAAGTTACGCTGGCATATTATAGGATTATCCGAAGTCCGAAGAGAGGGGGAGGACACGGTAATCCTCGAATCCGGCAACTTGCTCTATCACCGGGAGGGCGACCATCTGTCCCAAGGAGGTGTCGGATTTATCGTCCACAAGTCTCTCGTTAACAACGTTGTAAAGATTGAGAGTGTGTCGACGAGGGTTGCGTACCTTATACTCAGAATCACCAAACGGTATTCGCTGAAGGTCATACAGGTTTACGCACCAACCTCGGCACACCCCGATCAGGAGGTGGAGGAAATGTATGAGGATATCTCTAGAGCCATGCATTCCTCCAAAACCCAATATACGGTGTTAATGGGAGACTTCAATGCAAAACTAGGCACAAGAGAGAACGGTGAGCTGAAAGTGGGGAAATTTGGAATAGGGCAACGGAACCCAAGGGGCCAGCAGTTGGCCGACTTCATGGAGAAAGAGGGACTCTTTATGATGAACTCTTTCTTCCAGAAGCGGCCCCACAGGAAGTGGACCTGGTCGAGCCCCGACGGTTCGACAAAAAATGAGATTGACTTCATTATGACGACCAGACGACAACTGTTCAGTGATGTCTCAGTGATCGCGAGGGTGAAAACCGGCAGCGATCACCGAATGGTTAGAGGCACACTGAACCTAAACGTTAAGTTGGAGAGGTCTCGTCTAATGAAGTCAACGCTCCGTCCCCCTCGTGCTCTAATCCAAAGTCCCGAAACCTTTCAGCTCGAGTTGCAAAACCGTTTTCAGTCCCTAGAAGACTGCAATGAAGTGGACGATTTGAATGACAAGCTCGTGGAAACTGTCCATGCGGTCGGAGCTAAGTTCTGCAAGACCCGCCGCAGAAGAACACAAAAACTCTCCGATCACACTCTTAATCTCATGGCTGTTAGACGGGAGATGAAGCTACATTCTTCAACAGATTTGACAGCTTACAGGCAACTGAACAGACAGATCTCCAAATGCATGCGGCGGGACTTACGCAACTTCAATACAGCTCGTATTGAAGAAGCGATCGAGCGGAACCAAGGCTCCAAAGTCTTTGCCAGAGATCTGTCTGCCAGAAAGAGCCAACTGTCAAAGCTGAAGACCGAATGTGGCAGCATCGTTTCCGGGGCACCTGAGATTTTGAGTGAGATTGAGAGGTTCTATGGGCAGCTGTACACGTCATCGTTGGAGCCACACGCAAGTGTGAGTAACGATCCAAGAGCGAGTCTTATCCGACATTATTCCGATGATATCCCGGACGTCAGTCTGAGCGAGATTAGAATGGCTCTCCAGCACCTTAAAAACGGCAAGGCCCCAGGCCAGGATGGAATTACAGCGGAGCTTCTGAAAGCGGGTGGAAAACCGGTACTTGAAGTCCTTCAGAAGCTGTTTAATTCCGTCCTCCATGGTGGCATTACACCGGAGGCGTGGAGCAGAAGTGCGGTGGTCTTGTTCTTCAAGAAAGGCGACAACGCTCTCTTGAAGAACTACAGACCGATTTCCCTTCTGAGCCGCGTCTACGTGCTGTTTTCGAGAGTCATTACGAATCGTCTCGCGCGCAGACTTGACGACTTCCAGCCTCCCGAACAAGCCGGTTTCCGAAAAGGCTTTAGCACCATAGACCACATACATACCCTTCGGCAAATTGTACAGAAGTCCGAGGAGTACAATTTGCCACTATGTCTGGCGTATGTGGACTATGAGAAAGCCTTTGATTCCGTCGAAATTTGGGCGGTGCTGCAGTCCCTTCAGCGATGCCAAGTTGACTGTCGGTATATCGAAGTGTTGAAGTGCTTGTACAGTAGGGCTACGATGGCTATCCGAGTACAGAACCAGAGTACGAAACCTATCCAATTGCAGAGAGGTGTAAGACAGGGTGACGTCATATCCCCGAAACTCTTCACCGCTGCATTGGAAGATGTTTTCAAGCTTCTGGACTGGAAAAGATACGGTATCAACATCAATGGCGAGTACATCACTCACCTTCGATTTGCCGACGATATAGTCCTTATGGCAGAATCGCTGGAGGACCTAAGCACTATGCTCAATGACCTCAATAGTGTTTCCCAACGGATAGGTCTTAAGATGAACATGGACAAAACAAAGATCATGTTTAATGTCCATGTCACACCTATGCCGGTAGTTGTTGGGAACACTAAGCTCGAAGTTGTTGACGAGTATGTTTACCTGGGACAAATAGTCCGACTAGGTAAGTCCAACTTCGACCGAGAGGTCAATCGACGGATTCAACTCGGTTGGGCAGCGTTCGGGAAATTACGGCACATCTTCTCGTCAGGTATACCTCAAAACTTGAAAACGAGACTGTACACCCAGTGCGTGTTGCCAGTGATGACATACGGAACTGAGACGTGGTCCTTCACTGCTGGCCGGATGAGGAAGCTCAAGGTCGCTCAGCGAGCTATGGAGAGGGCTATGCTCGGAGTTTCTCTGCGTGATAAACTCAGAAATGAGGATATCCGCAGTAGAACCAGAGTGACCGACATAGCCCAACGGATTAGTAAGCTGAAGTGGCAATGGGCCGGCCATATAGCTCGAAGAACCGACTACCGATGGGGAAGAAAGGTACTCGAGTGGCAGCCTCGTACCGGCAGGCGAAGTGTAGGGCGTCGCCCCACTAGATGGAGTGACGACCTGGTAAGATTTGCAGGAAGTCGATGGATGCAGGTGGCTCAGGACCGTGCTTTGTGGCATTCTTTGGGGGAGGCCTATGTTCAGCAGTGGACTTGTGAAGGGCTGTAATGATGATGATGATGATGATTACACGCATGCTTAATGCACAAAATGTATCACTTTTACTTATCAAAATCTACTTCAAACCCTTAATAATAAATCAGGACTGGCTGTTCCCATACCAGAAGACAGACCACGCTGGGAGAGAGGAGTGGAATTTTGCCTTGTCGCTGGGGCTCTCCCAGGTGGTACAACAAGCGACTAGGGTACCTGATCTGGGTGGGCACATAGCCAACTGCCTCGACCATCTGCTGACGACCGATCCATGCAGGTACAATGTTCAGGTTACCTCACCCTTGGGAATTTCTAATCACTGTCTGGTGAAATCTGTGACGTTATATTCCCCAAATAACTACGATTTCCACGGTGTGTGGCGATACAAGTCAGCAGATTGGAATGAGATGCAGCATGTCTTTGCATTTTTTTCTTGACGGCAGGTCTGCTTCTCCTCTGAAGACCCGTCGAGCTGCGCGGATGCCATAACCAATGTAATACATCAAGCGATGGAGTGTTTCATCCCCTTTGCTGTGGTACCCATTGGTGGTTAAGCTCGCCCATGGTTCAACGCCGAGTGCGCTCGTATTGAAAAGCACTAGCATATGGCGTACTTATCCTGGGTCGATGCTCGAAATCGTAAAGCTCCAGATGTTAGCCTTTAAGCAAGCCGCTAAGTCCGGCAAGCCAGCTTCAACCGCATTAAACGCACCGGGACAAAGCTATCTGTGAAACCATCTGGCAGTAGAGCTTTTTGGTTTCTCGCCAAAGCGGTCAAGACAAACTACTTTCGGTCTACACTGCCTTCGCTGGTAACACCAAATGACTCGAAGATAATATGTTTAATGATTTTTATGACGATTCTTTTAAAATTAATTGATATTACTTGTGATGCACTAAATTTTATACAAAAGGTAACCTATCTTTGATTAAAAATATTTATAGAATATTGAGAAAATAGGACACACTTTTGATGAGGGCTAAAAATATTACGCTCACCAGATGTCGCTAGTTGGGAACAAGGTGAACTTAGTTGTTACGCAGCTGGTCACACAGTGTCATCATCATTGAAAAGTGGCGTTATAATAAAAAGATTTTCAGTTTCTAGTGTATGTATATATATATATATATATATACAAAACAACGTCTCAGTGCTCTATTCATTGTTTTTTTGTACACGTTTTATACTTATTTTTTAATTCTTCTACTTTCGGAAATATCCGGAGTTTGGTTTATTAATTTTTAGTCTAATTATTATAAAACATAACTAATATTTAAGAAAAAAGCTCTCCACTTTCCTAACAAATTAACTTCGCCCGCTATGTTATCTGCCAAATATTTCACCTCATTCCTAAATGGGCACCACTAGTAGCAAAATAGTCGTCATTGCAGCATGTGTAATGGCAGTAAGCAAGCAAGGAGCTGGGAGCAAGACAAAAAATGACAAATGCATTAGCATGGATCACAACCGCAACGACTAAAGACTTTCCTCGCTTTCTCGCATATAACATCGTATATCTACGTAGCAATTCTCACAAACTAACTGGCGCATCTTAAGTTTAGCGAGAATAATAGTTATTAGTTTAACCAGCATCCAATTTATACGTGGTAGAACCATGCTGCAGCTATATTACTGGTATAGTTGTAGCACGAATATATAGGCTCGACCGGGGAAGGATCACGCTCTCACAGAACACCAGTGTAAAATAGCAGCTTAACGCTGCTGTGTTTCGTATGATGTGTGTAGAGAACCGGAGACCTTTTTTACTAAAAACGAGGCATTTAATCTCGTTTCCGGTAAAAGTCCTTACGGGTGACAACGCATCTTCATTTTGATTCGTAATCGAGGATAGATATAAATGTCTATGGGCCACAGCAACCACTTACCATCAGGAGGAGTGTATGCTCGTTTGTCACTTTTATCCTATATAAAAAAAAAATTAATGCACAGACATCGTACTGTGATCTAATATCACTCACCCTTGTTAGGAAATAAGGGGATGCTCGGAGAAGGCATGTTCCATGAGACGTTTTATAAATGCTGTGGCAGCGCTGTCACCGCGCCACAAATCGAACCTTATATTATCCTTAAGATGTTTTCGCACAACTCTGCAATGTATAGAACAAGCCCCGTATTCATACGGGGAGCGTTGTCCCCACTACTTGCCTCTGCCTCACAGCACTCTCGCAGATTAGGTACTTGCCTTCTTCTCAACTCACCGCAGGCTACAAGGCAACTCCTATACTCCTCCACTTGAATCAGGGCATCGTTTTTGTCACAGGCTTTTATATAAATTTATTTTTATAAGTAGTGTTTTTAATAATTCTATAAATTTATTTAGAAGCAGGTGAAAGGATACGACTTAGGCATATCCTCGTATCATAAAAGTAGAATAGACAGTTTAAGTAATATTTACACGAATACGCGTTATTCAAGTCATGCTATTGTTTCAGTTCAAATAAATTAAATATTTTGTCGTACCTACTTCTAATTATTCATTTGTGTAAAGTATTTGATAATATGATTAATTATTACAGTTGTCGGATTCGGAGTAATATTATTCAGTTTCATTTAAATTTCCATTAAGGTTTGATTAATTAGTTCCTAGATTTCACATTTCTTGAATTAGTCTTAACCAGAATCGTGGAAAACTGCGTAGGCGGTAATCTTAACACTTGGAGTGGGGTTAGATTAAAGTCATGAATTTAATACATTATTTTAAATTCTTAAGAGTTTTTTACATAAATCACAATCTGTAACACCCTATTTCTTTTTTAGTAGGTGTCTACGTCGAGAAGGATGTTATGCCAAATTTCAAGTCAATCGGGCTTACCTACATGTAGAGTACGTGAGGGTAATTTTTTTCATTTATTTAAAGGACCACAAACAAATTCACAATATATATAAAATATTCAAAACAAAGAAGCATAAATATCATTATAAATCCAACAGCGCTGGTGTCATTATACATATAATCTAGTGTTAAAGTGGAGCTAATCTTACATTATAACAAGTGTTATCATTACAGCCCTTCACAAGTCCATTGCTGAACATAGGTCTCCCTCAAAGAATGCCACAAAGCACGGTCCTGAGCCACCTGCATCCATCGACTTCCTGCATGTCTTACCAGGTCGTCACTCCATCTCGTGGGGGGACGCCCTACACTTCGCCTACCGGTACGAGGCTGCCACTCGAGAACCTTTCTTCCCCATCGGTTGTCGGTTCTTCGAGCTATATGGCCGGCCCACTGCCACTTCAGCTTACTAATCCGTTGGGCTATGTCGGTTACTCTGGTTCTACTGCGGATATTCTCATTCCTAAGTTTATCACGCAGAGAAACTCCAAGCATAGCCCTCTCTATAGCTCGCTGAGCGACCTTGAGCTTCCTCATACGGCCAGCAGTGAAGGACCACGTCTCAGTTCCATAAGTCATCACTGGCAACACGCACTGGTTGTACAATTTCGTTTTCAGGTTTTGAGGTATGTCTGACGAGAAGATGTGTCGTAGCTTCCCGAACGCTGCCCAGCCGAGTTGAATCCGTCGATTGACCTCTCGGTCGAAGTTGGACTTACCTAGTCGGACTATTTGTCCCAGGTAAACATACTCGTCAACAACTTCGAGCTTAGTACTCCCAACAACTACCGGCATAGGTGTGACATGGACATTGAACATGATCTTTGTTTTGTCCATGTTTATCTTAAGACCTATCCGTTGGGAAACACTATCGAGGTCATTGAGCATAGTGCTTAGGTCCTCCAGCGATTCAGTCATAAGGACTATATCGTCGGCAAATCGAAGGTGAGTGATGTACTCGCCATTGATGTTGATACCGTATCCTTTCCAGTCCAGAAGCTTGAAAACGTCTTCCAATGCAGCGGTGAAGAGTTTCGGGGATATGATGTCACCCTGTCTTACACCTCTCTGCAATTGGATAGGATTCGTACTCTGGTTCTGTACTCGGATAGCCATCGTAGCCCTACTGTACAAGTACTTCAACACTTCGATATACCGACAGTCAACTTGGCACCGCTGAAGGGACTGCAGCACCGCCCAAATTTCGACGGAATCAAAGGCTTTCTCATAGTCCACATACGCCAGACATAGTGGCAAATTGTACTCTTAGGACTTCTGTACAACTTGCCGAAGGGTATGTATGTGGTCTATGGTGCTAAAGCCCTTTCGGAAACCGGCTTGTTCGGGAGGCTGGAAGTCGTCAAGTCTGCGCGCGTGACGATTCGTAATGACTCTCGAAAACAGCACGTAGACGCGGCTCAGAAGGGAAATCGGTCTGTAGTTCTTCAAGAGAGCGTTGTCACCTTTCTTGAAGAACAAGACCACCGCACTTCTGCTCCACGCCTCCGGTGTAATGCCACCATGGAGGACGGAATTAAAGAGCTTCTGAAGGACTTCAAGTACCGGTCTTCCACCCGCTTTCAGAAGCTCCGCTGTAATTCCATCCTCGCCTGGGGCCTTACCGTTTTTAAGGTGCTGGAGAGCCATTCTAATCTCGCTCAGACTGACGTCCGGGATATCTTCGGAATAGTGTCGGATGAGACTCGCTCTTGGATCGTTACTCACACTTGCATGTGGCTCCAACGATGACGTGTACAGCTGCCCATAGAACCTCTCAATCTCACTCAAAATCTCAGTTGTCCCGGAAACGATGCTGCCACATTCTGTCTTCAGCTTTGACAGGTGGCTCTTTCTGGCAGACAGATCTCTGGCAAAGACTTTGGAGCTTTGGTTTCGCTCGATCGCTTCTTCAATACGAGCTGTATTGAAGTTGCGTAAGTCCCGCCGCATGCATTTGGAGATCTGTCTGTTCAGATGCCTGTATGCTGTCAAGTCTGTTGAAGAATGTAGCTTCATCTCCAGTCTAACAGCCATTAGATTAAGAGTGTGATCGGAGAGTTTTTGTGTTCTTCTGCGGCGGGTCTTGCAGAACTTAGCTCCGACCGCATGGACAGTTTCCACGAGCTTGTCATTCATATCGTCAACTTCATTGCAGTCTTCTAGGCACTGAAAACGGTTTTGTAACTCGAGCTGAAAGGTTTCGGGACTTTGGAACAGAGTACGAGGGGGACGGAGCGTTGACTTCATTAGACGAGACCTCTCCAACTTAACGTTTAGGTTCAGTGTGCCTCTAACCATTCGGTGATCGCTACCAGTTTTCACCCTCGCGATCACGGAGACATCACTGAACAGTTGTCGTCTGGTCGTCATAATGAAGTCAATCTCATTTTTTGTCGAACCGTCGGGGCTCGACCAGGTCCACTTCCTGTGGGACCGCTTCTGGAAGAAAGAGTTCATCATAAAGAGTCCCTCTTTCTCCATGAAGTCGGCCAGCTGCTGGCCCCTTGGGTTCCGTTGCCCTATTCCAAATTTCCCTACTTTCAGCTCACCGTTCTCTCTTGTGCCTAGTTTTGCATTGAAGTCTCCCATTAACACCGTATATTGGGCTTTGGAGGAATGCATGGCTCTAGAGATATCCTCATACATTTCCTCCACCTCCTCATCGGGGTGTGCCGAGGTTGGTGCGTAAACCTGTATGACCTTCAGCGAATACCGTTTGGTGATTCTGAGTATAAGGTACGCAACCCTCGTCGACACACTCCCGATCTTTACAACGTTGTTAACGAGAGACTTGTGGACGATAAATCCGACACCTCCTTGGGACAGTTGGTCGCCCTCCCGGTGATAGGGCAAGTTGCCGGATTCGAGGATTACCGTGTCCTCCCCCTCTCTTCGGACTTCGGATAATCCTATAATATGCCAGCGCAACTTGTCTATCTCTTCTTCCAGCTCCACGATCTTCTCGTCAGTACTCAGGGTGCGTGCGTTGTACGTTGCCAGGTCGAGTCGATTAAGGTGGCAACCGAACCTCCACCGGAGATTCTTAGCACCCCCTGCCACGCCGTTACCATGGTCGCCACCGTAGCCAGGAATAGCGGGGCCGCCGGGGACTGGGGGCCGTCTCTTTGTTACATTCATAGGGGGGTATTTGCCATAGTTGCCACGCTTGGCGAGCGGGTTGGCAACCGCAGTTTTTTTTATTGTAATTTTGGCTATTATCAGGAAGACGCTGCTGCCCATCTCCTGCCTGTTTCCCTTTGTCGCCTTTTACGACACCCACGGGAGGATATGGGGTAGTGGATATTCTTGACCGCCACTACACGGCAACAAGTGTTAGTTAACTAGTTAATAAATCATGAAGTAACTAAGAAACATTATTAATACATGTGTGTGCATGTATGTATGTGTGCGCGTGCGAACGCGCGCGCGCGCACGAATATATATATATATATATATATATATATATATATGTGTGTGTGTGTGTGTGTGTGTGTGTGTGTGTGTGTGTGTGTGTGTGTGTGTGTGTGTGTGTGTGTGTGTGTGTTGTGTGTGACAATTTTATGATTCACCATGTCAAAAGCTTTGCGAAAATCAGTGTACACACTATCAATCTGTTTATTTGCATCTAGTCCTTCAAAGAGATCCGTTGTATAAATAAGTAGATTAGTAATAGTGGAACGACGCTCAACGAATCCATGTTGTTGCTGTAAAATGGAACTATGGAGACATGGGTAAATAGCTTTATGTACTAAACTTTCGCAAAGCTTCGACAGGGTAGAAAAATAGAAATAGGACTATAATTTTCTACGTCTTTCTTGGATCCTCCTTTATATACAGGGACGATTCTCGCTGATTTCCAGATCTTAGGAAAGACACCAACACGTAAACTTTTATTAAATAAATAGCATATAGGTTCATCAATAGTATCAGCAGTCTGTCTCAAGAAATAGGCATTAATGTTATCAACTCCAGCACCTTTATTATCATCAAGCGCTTCAATTGAGGTATGAACTTCTTCCTTTGAAATTTCTACACTACAGATTAAGGCATCAGGCGTTTGACGGTCATTTATATTAATATCTTTAATTTCAAAGTTGTCTGGTACAAATGAAGGTTCGAATACTGATTGGAAAAATGTAGAGAAAAGACTTCAGAAGGTGAATTGGCAGTTACGTTTTTGTAGTGCATTGTGTTGGGTGTATCTGAATTCTTTTTACGATTATTAATGTAAGTCCAGAAAAAAAAAATATTTTTATACTGTGTTCTACATGTTTAAGGTAAGCTTTCTTTAAATTGTATTCTGTGTATAGCAAAAACACAATAATTTGATTCCGTATTATATCTTTTCATTTGTATCCAGGCTCGCTCCTTTTTCTTATATAAATTAATAAGTGCGGGAGTAAACCAATTTAGAAAAAGTGACGATTTAATGACTTTTGTGGGCACATGTTTTTTTATTATGGCATATATCCTTTCATAGAAATTAGAAACTGCCTCTTCTACTTCTTTTTCCGTGAAGAGAAGATTCCAATTAGTATTTGCTATTTCTTCATTACTTTTTGCATAGTCCGCGTGTTTGTAACAATATTTAATATAGTTTTTATTTTTCAAGCGATTGAATTCCTCAACAAAAGATACAACTACCTGGAACGGAGGGTGATATCCATCTGGTGGAATCAAAGGAAATTGTACAGGAGAAGTTTTGCTATTTATATTATTACTGATGCATAAGTCTAATTTATTATTTGTTTTATTTTTTAACGAATTCAATTGATAACATTCAAGTGATGACATAAAGTTAATTAAGTATCTATGCGTGGGAGTTATATCAGAATTTATAATTGGTTGAGTGAAAATGCCTTTATTTTCCCACTGTAGACTAGGCAGATTAAAGTCACCTATTATATAAATGTCAGTATCTATATCATGCACCGCGCTGTGTAAAACGTCTAAATAAGCGCAGTATGTGTTGTAGTTTTGTTTAGGTGGGATATACACATTTTCCAAAGTTTACGTTTTCCTATGTTGAGTTGAATCATCAACTGGTCACAACAAGGGGCGGGAGGGGTACGTCGGTAGCGGGCAGCGCGAGTGGAGTAGCAGAGAGCGCTCGCGACACGGTGCGACACGGCAACAAGCATGCCGCCTCCATCCCGCCGGCCACTGGCCGATCGGTCCCGATCCATCCAAAACACCTGATACCTAGAATCAATGTATTCACTATCGGAGATGTCATTACGCAACCAAGTTTCTGTTAAGATTAGTATGTCGTAGGTACTGGAGATAACATTAGTATTAAGAGTGTGTAGTTTTGTTTTAAGTCCTCTGCAGTTTTGGTAGTACAGTGTTAAATAACTATTAGCCATTTTGAATGAATAGTTCCTATAAAATTTGAGAGATATAATTAGTGTAATATACCATTATTGAGACTATTGCCAAGTAATTTTTACTAAAGTAATTAAGTGCTATGTTTCGTATCGTTTTCCAAAATTCCATCAAATATAAATTATTTTCCACTTCATAGTTATGAAAAAATGAAAAAAAAAAATGAAAAATTGTTTATTTCTTTAAAAAAATCATACCTTATATAGGTATGGGAGTAAGTGGAACATCCTTTTAAGTAAATATATACTTGTGGCAGGATGCCCCGCTTTTCTATAGCAAGAATTAAATAAACACAAAATAGATTATTTAAAGAAATACAAGAAACTAAGCTTATATTTATATAATGAGGGTTTTATACAAGTGTGCGAGTTTATGTGAGTGTGAGTTAATGGGTGCGTGCACTCACTCGCGCGATTGTGTGTGTGTGTGTGTGTATCTATGTGTGTTTGCGTGTGTATATGTACACATGTGTGTGTTTGTCTGCGTGTGTAAAATTTATTTAATAACTTTTAGTAATGCCTCGACTTCATCATACTTAAGTTTCAGTAGCCATTCTGTAACTGTCTTTTTGAACTCATTAGAGTTCAGTGAATAAATGTTTAGTTTTTTGTTGACTACATTGTATAAATAACCAGCCTGTCTTTTAAATTGGTGACTAGCAAAATTTGTCTTGACTAGAGTTAATTCAAAGGCTTTTCCTCGTCTATTACTACTTTTGCAGTCGTAGAAAGTTGTTTTATGTTTTGTTAACAACAAATTTAAAATGTATAACTTTTTAACACTTAGTAAACCACTAACTGAGTAAAGTTCTTCTGTCTATATCTATCTATATGATTTATTGTACATGACCTTTATTAATGATCGTTGACCACGTTCTAGTTGTAGGAGTTTAGTTTTCGTAGTACCACCCCAAACTGGTATACAATATGTTAAAATCGATTGGGCTAGTGCAGCATATATTTGATTTAATAATTTATGAGTTGCGACATGTCTGAGGGTCTTAAAGATCCAAATAAGTTTTCGTAATCTATTATTAGTTGCTTCTATATGTGAATGCCATGTAAGTGTTTGGTCTATTATAACACCCAAATATTTAGTACTAGCTACTTTTTCTATAGTAGGACATGTGCAATTGTTACGCAAACCACAGTGCTAATGGAAAAACATATATATTTTGTCTTAGACGTGTTAAGGGTAAGCAAGTTTATTTCGAGCCAGTTCGCAACTTTGGACAGCCCAAATTCGGCTGTATCGTAGACTTCATCCCACGATTTACCCGTGAAAACGATAGCAGTATCGTCCGCATATGAATAAATCTTACCATTGTCAAGTTTTAATCTACAGAGGTCATTAATATAAATGAGAAATAAGGTAGGGCCTAGTACACTGCCTTGAGGCACCCCAAAAGTCATTTGAAGGTCATTACTGACATAGTTGCCTATTCTAGTGCTTTGCGTTCTGTTTCTTAAATAATCTCTTATTAATTCTAGTTGGGCTTCCCTTATACCGATCTTTTCCAACTTCCTAACAAGCATGGGAACAGAGACGGTGTCAAATGCCTTTTTTAAGTCCAAAAATATAGCAAGGCATTTTTTATTTTGGTCAATGTGATCAACAATATATGTAGTTAGATCTATGACAGCGTTCTGTGTGATTTTTCCTCTTCTAAATCCATATTGTGTTTGTGATACAATATTATATTTATCTAAATACCGTATTAATCTGTTATTAATTAATTTTTCTAAGATTTTGGAAAAAGCTGGTAAGATGGAAATTGGCCTATAATTATTTATATCATCTCTGCTCCCATTCTTGTATACAGGTGTAATAATAGAACGTTTAAGGAAGGCTAGAAATACACTTTTAGAAAAACAGAGGTTAGCCAAGTGACAAGCTATCGGCACTAATAAAGAACTGGCCAACTTCACAAATTTTGTGGGTATGTTATCACAACCCGGAGTGCTATCGGATTTTAAGTTCATGAGTATACTAATAACTTCATTAGGATTAGTATCTAAGATGGCAAAAGATGAGAGCTGGTTATTAATTAAGTGTGCTGCAATATGTATTGTGATCGTGTGCTGTGTTCTTTTGAATGTCATTTTGAAAACCAGCGTAAAATAGCAGCTTAACGCTGCTGTGTTTCGTATGGTGAGTGTAGAGAACCGGAGACACTTTCTACTGGCAAAGAGGCATTCCATCTTAGTCCTCACGGGTGACAACGCATCTGCATCTTGAGTCTTTATTGAGGATAGATGTAGATGTCTATGGGTCACAGTAACCACTTACCATCAGGTGGACTGTGTGCTCGTTTGTCACCCGATCCTATAAAAAAAAAATCGGCAAGCTGACACCCAATATTTGCGAAAAAATTATTACTGTATTAACTGATTGATTAGGGCTTGATTCTATGTCTAATAATGCATTATTAGTAGTTTTATTTTCCTTAGTATGTGTAATATTTTTTTATATAATTCCATAAGATTTTAGGTTTTTTTCTAATAACAATGTTCTTTCATATGAACGTTTTAACTTTTTAATACAGTTGTTACAGTAATTGTGATATCTTTTAAAAGTTATTCTCAAAATTTCATCGAAAGGGTTGTTTTTAAGTTGTTTTTGCATTTTATTCCTATTTTGAATGCATGTCATCACACCTGTAGTTATCCAGGGTTTAATGGTACGTCTACTTTTAGGAATACGGATAGTATTAATGTTTTCATGTAGAGATTCTGTAATTTTGTTTATTAATATTTCAACAATTCTATTGGGATCATCGCATAGTAGTAAAATAGATAAATTTTTATTAGCAAGGCTACTAACCGCCTTTTTAAAATCGATATATATTTTTGTTCGCGGAGAAGTTTTTATTTCTTTAATTTTAGTCAAACTAAAGAACACCATATAGTGATCGGTGATGGATGTATTTATTACTGCTATATTTGCTTGTGTTTTATTCCTATTTCATTTAAGGATAACATGATCCAGGCAACTATTTTCTCTGGTAGCAATTGTATGTCCCGGTAACAAGCCGAAAGTAGAAAGGACATCTAGATAGTTAATTCAATTTTTTTGTTCACTATTTAGTTCGTTAGGTTTTGGAATAAGATTTATGTTGATATCTAAAGTAATAATTATATTTTCATTGTTTTTAATGCTGTTGAGATGTTG